TTGTTGTTTGTTTTTTGTTTTTTATTTTTGTTTTTTGTTGTTGGTTGTTGGGTTGTTGTTGTTGTTTTTTTTTGGGGGGGTGTCATTGGTTATACTCAAATCAGCTAAAATGAATTATAAGACAAAGGAATTCAGTTTTAGCTATTTTGTCAATCCTCTAGGATTAATTTCTCAGTCGTTCTTTTTCCTTTTGCTAAATTTGGCCGATGACTAGCGAGCTGTCTGCTGTGAGCAGCTCATTTTGTCTCTTGATTATTGTCTATCAAATTGAAACGAGGGGGTTATCAAAGCAAACACCAACTCAACAACAGCAATCTGTTGTCTTCCTTATCACTGGATGATCTTTCTTCCCTCATGATGTATTTAAACAAATAAAACACACAAAAAACTGATGTCTTTAATTCTATACATTTTGTATAGCACTGAAAATACAGGCAAATGTCCATTCTGACTCTTCACATTCTTTTTTCAATTTTGAAATCCATGTCCATTTTCTTTTTTAAAATCTCGCCCTAAGTTTGCCGTCACTTCGATGCATTGGTAATATCCAGTACACACTGCCAATGGAATCATTTGATTCAGTTGGGGCTAGCCAGATTTGCGTTCCTGTAGGGGCAAAAGCTACCATTTTTGGCACAATACGACCGAATCGACTCACGACCTTGAAAACAAACTCATTTGATTTGAAGGTCACAGTTGAATTTAGCCGAACCCGGTCGAAGTGTATCACATTGGCTGCTTTTTTCCCATCCATGACCGAAAAATTATCTGGACCAGACGAAATCAAATCAATGAATTCGGTTGACACTGTGCACTAAATTTAAGTTTGTGGGCGCTCAGGTGTGGTCTATCTTCTCCACCCCCCTTTTTTTTTTTACTTCATTCTCTCGATAGTTTTATCCTAATAAATGCAGCACGTCCCAGTCGAGTTGTGGTGATGCTTATGCCGACTCTCTGTGGTCCATATCCCAGCCTCAATAACAGAAATGTTTTGGTAATTTTGCACTAGGGTGTTCCTTTAAAGAATATAATTGGTCGCTTTTAAGGACAAGCGGGCTAACCCAGATTTCGGGGGTTTCCACAATTCTTGACCTTCACCAAAAGTGGGCATTTCCCTACGTATAGGAGATGTTTGGTTTCATTGGTGTTTATATTCGTTTGGTTATAGAGAAAAGTCTCCTTGTCTTTTAAAGAAACTAAACAAGGGGCAAAAAAGTTCCCTTCGATTTTCTGAAAATAGCGTTTTTCAGGATAGCCCTCTTGTGCTTAAAAGAGACCATTATTGTTGAAAGTCGCAAACCTCACTACTGGAAAGCAATATTTTGGTCTAGAATTAAGAGTCACCACACAAACTAACCATAATGTTATGATCATGTACCTCACAGTTACAAGCCTTGCATTTTTTAAAAAGATGATGCACGATTTCAGTCACCTCTTTGATTTTGAGCCCACGTTTTTTGCATTCAGATAATTACAAATTAGTGACGTCTTTGAAAAACGACGATCCGGATCTGAGCGTTTTTCTCGGTGTGGGCGGTCCCAGCGATATCTCCCTGGATTTCTCCTCTCTGGTAAACAGCACGGAGATGATGGAGGAGTTTGCCAGTAACGCAGCGCGTTATCTGAGGGACAGGTAGGACTTGGCTCTGAGATTTGTTTGTGTTAGAGTTTTCTCTACGTGAAAATGTTATTTTATTGGCGTATTATGTTGATGAGTGTTGATGTATATATGTATATGTGTGTGCATAGCCCTTTGTATATATATATATA